GTTACCCAGACAACTCTAAAGTCAAGTCAGATCATTTTGAAGCTATATGATTTGTTTGTAACATCGAACTAGATGTTAGACTGTATTTCAACAAGGTGCATAACATAAAACTTGAATTAAAACTATATTCATGCATGCCAAAAACATACGATAGCATAACATCCCAAAACGAGAGAGTACGTTGTGTTACCGACCAGCAAACATGATGATGGGGAGATAAATGCAATCCACATATGTCTGTAGGATAGAACATCTTGTTTGATTAAGGATCCTTGTGGTCTAGTGCAATGTAACAAACTAATGGTTTTAATGTCAATTTCGTATGCCATACAATTTTTTGATTCATTTCTGTGACTCTGAATAGGTTTCACTTCCTACCGAGAAATCCTACCGCAAGCAATATTGAACAATTACACTAAATATGAGTCCACTTATGACTGTTCGAAATTTGCAACAATAAAAACGAGTTATAATAAATATAACGAAAAAAAGCCAGTTGGTACTTGAACACTGTATTTTCCTTACTACATTTTAAAACTACACATAATCTTAAACTTTCACCTTCCTTTTCAATTATATACAGTTAGATAGTTCTCCGTCTATTCATCGCTATACTGTGGCTTGTTTTCCGTGACCTCATTAAATATAATCTTTTAGAAATCGGCCCAACAGAAGAGAATGCGTCTAAGTAGTCATACCATAATTCTTCTTTCCCAAATGACAATACTCCACTAGTTATGATCGCTGCTCGTTCTGTTTCTCGCCCTTCCCTTTTCTCTCTCTCTTTTTCAGCACCCTCATTGTGCACCACCGAAAAAATTTTTGCAATATACGACCTTACTCTCTACCGTCACTTATATCTCCCGAAACAATCTGGGATCACTATTGCAAAGCACAAACTAATGCGTTGAAGTTGGCGTCTTTGACTGACTGCTTCAGTCCTAGTAGACCACTAATTAATTGTTGCAACCCAACCACTACAAAACACGCCATTCATAGCATTGGACAATAGGGTTATGCTAACATTAATATTCTAATGTATGAAACCTTATCTCCTCTTCAGATTGCTCATGTGTCCTGTAACTGTTCAACATAATTGAGTAGCTTAATAGAGTAACGCATTAAGCATTCGTAACAACTTGAACTTGCCTATAAACTGGCATGCCTCTTGTAATACACTGTTATCTGAGAGTATATATTGTTATTATTCATGTTCGTTCAAAACTTCCCTTCATAGTTTTCCATCGTCAATGAAAATTAATAAATGAGACGACACTTGCTGGGGGAGGTCATTTATATAACTACTGAAAAGAAGAGGTTTTTACTGAACTCCGATGAACCCCAATAGGACAGTCCATAGTCGACCGTGACATGGTACTTAATTGTTTGAGGTTATTATTGAGGTACATGTGACTGGCCGCGATATTTTTGGTTTGATCACTGGCAATATAGCGGCTTCTAGTCTTTGCATCACTGCATCACCGCACGCAGCATTAGAACTCAAGTCAAGCACAAAAATCAACAAAAGGATCACCCTACCATATATACAAGGAATATCAGAAACCGCGACGAGACTGCTGAAAACCTTCGGAATAGGTGTGTCACACAAACCGACAAAATCACTACAATCAATCTTATGCAAACCAAAAGATGAAATAACAAAGGAAAACAAATCAAACATCATCTACAAAATAAATTGTGCCAACTGCGAAAAACACTGCATCGGACAAAGCGGACGCCCCCTTCACCCTCGCCTACATGAACATCAATTAGCAGTCAAACGGCATGATATCTCTTCACTTATATCAATACACGTGGACAACTGCGGACACTCATTCGATTGGAAAAATGCGGAAATCTTAGACAGAGGAAACTCCAAATCACCAGAGAATTTTTAGAAGCCTGGCACTCAGGTCAATCAGCAATCAACAAGCATATTGAAATCAATCCAATTTATCAACCAATCAGAAAAATCATGCACAAACATAAGAACAAAAATCAAAACAATGGGAGACACAACCAAAACAAAGAAGTAAACAACGACAAATTTAAGGTCAATAAGAACCAATCAACGTCGAGGTGCACAGAACAAGCTTTGAGACACATATGGAGAAATTCAAACACTTCACTTCTATCTGAAGTTTGTGCTGATGATGTCGTTCAGAAGAACGATGAAAGCTCCACGACCAAACCATCCAGCTCAGAGAACAAAACTCCACCAAAATTTCACACCTGCTATTTATTATCTTGTCTCCAGTAGTACTTCTTATCTATGTCATGGCATTTTGTCTGACATTAGGTTATCTCACGAACTTGATAAGGTTTCCAACGACTATGGTGAGGTTCTGTAGAGCAACTGGTTTCCAAGATCAAGTTACTAAGCGACAATCGAGCCAGACTATCGGCTTCAGTGGTAAGAAAAGTCAACTGGGGTTCTTTTTAAGCAAAGATGGATAGTGGCTAGCGGTGGAATCCAGAACGCGCGTTTCGGCCTGTTTGGGACTCGTCAGCTGGATGTACCTGCATCTCAGAGTTGATGTTCACTCTGGGACTCGAACTCAGTACCGTTCGCTTCAAACGCCATCGCGTTATCCACTTAGCTACTGAGTCCTGATAGCCACTTGCTTGTGCAATGGGTTGAAGTTAAATTCACTTGATATTGTTTTACTTGAATCTTCCCATTGATGTTTTTTGGACTGAAATTGATCAGTCTCTTATTGGCATATGTGCATACTGTGCGTATGCCTCGATATTGCCTTAATTTACAAGCATTATAAGCAAAGATGGATAGTGGCTAGCGGTGGAAGATTCAAGTAAAACAACATCAAGTGAATTCAACTTCAACCCATTGCACAAGCAACTGGCTATCCGGACTCAATAGCTAAGTGGATAACGCGATGGCGTTTGAAGCGAACGGTACTGAGTTCGAGTCCCAGAGTGAACATCAACTCTGAGATGCAGGTACATCCAGCTGACGAGTCCCAAACAGGCCGAAACGCGCGTCCTGGATTCCACCGCTAGCTACTATCCATCTTTGCTTATAATGCTTGTAAATTAAGGCAATATTGAGGCACACGCACAGTATGCACATATGCCAATAAGAGACTGATCAATTTCAGTCCAAAAAACATCAATGGGAAGATTCAAGTAAAACAATAGGGTTCTTTTTGTTGATTTTGTGATTTTATCGCGGCAACAGACAATTTTAGTATGAGGATACCAGAAAACCATTAAACACAACAGGCACTTAACCAACTGATGGCAACTCCAATACGGAATGGCCATCACACTCTAGGCCATTCAAGGTCGTTGGAACGAAACGGCGGGCAGTTTCGATTGTATCTAACGTTTTTACCGTGCTCAGTGGTTCGATTTTAGTGGCGTTTCAAACTGCTGTATAAATACGAGTCACATTCGAAAGCTTGGGTGAGTTTATTAAAGCTTTGTTTTGTGCACTTTAAACTAAATTTAGTCAATAAGATAGTTGGAACTATTTGTTGCATTATAAGCAACTTTTGATATGTATATCAAAAGTTGGTTCATTCTCTTTGTTATGCTTCTTGTGTATTTAATGGTACACGTTTACATGAAGTAGTATTGTCCGCTTCACTGCATAGTAAAAAAACATTCCTGACTGTCCATTCGTAGACAGGGAAATTCTGGGGAAAAACACAATTCAGGGGAAATTTTAGGGAAAAACGCAAGATTTCCCCAAAACTGAAAAATTTAGGGTTTTGTTAAATTTTATTTCTCCAAAGTGTAGCAAGATTCCGGGGAAATTTTGGGGTTTCTGTGTCATTTCCCCAAAATTTCTCCAAAGTTTACTATGGCGGCTTCTCAAAAATGGGTCAAATTGTTCCCAAAATTGGGAGATCGGGATTTACAATGACAAGCCTTCTGTGGAATGCAACCATGTACAATTAATAGTGGAAACCTCGGCGTTTAATTATAAGTCACAGGTTATTCAAGATAAGTAACGCCGTGTTATAAAACGTAAAGTTGTGGGTGTGAATATCGTGATTTTTCATATGTATTTTTGAAGTTGTTTTGTGGGTTAGTGTCCATATCTGTTCCATTCCAGATGATCACATTATGTGTGATGACTTCCAAGTTTTTGTAGCATCAACCTCAATGTTATCAAGTGATTATAGTATGTAATGGAAAGCAACAGGCCACTTAACTTCCATCTTTATGAAATTTCTTTCAATACGGCATTTTTACGGAGACTAAAACACCCCATATTTATTACAACCATGAAAAGTATATTGTGGTATGGACTAAGGAGTATATATTGTTGCAAATATTGACTTATTGTATATATATATATATATATATATATATATATATATATATATATATATATATATATATATATATGTATATATAGTGCTTGACGAGACCCTGCATGTAAATCAAGATTCAAAACACTAAGGAAATTTTAATTCTGTAGTAGTCGAAGTCCAGGCGAACGCTTCATATGTTTTGGGCAAAACCATTTATTGCACTACATTAAGTTGAAGTTCCTGTTGTCACGTCTTTTGTTTTTGCATGTAACTCAGACGTATTACATTACTCAGTTTTGGTTGAGGAAATATCGGCTTGAAGGTGAAGTTAGTAAGCTACAACGTAGCAACAGGCACATATATGCGTCGGTCAAAGTTGTTTGAAGATGAAAGTATTCTTAACCTTCGAAGTTACAATACTAAAGTTCCATATTCTTTGAAAATATTTTACCATGCTTGTCACAAAACTAGTCCTAGATAGTATTGTGGGAAGATCGAATATAATTCCACACTGAAACGATGCTTTCTAGCACTTATTGATATTTCGTTGACTGATTTCATGAAATTCACTTTATCAGTTTCACTCTGACCAATACCCTCCTTTTTTACGGGAACTTTTGTTTTAGTGCCTCGTGGGACAAGCAATTTTGTTATTGACAACTTTATTATTTATTATGCTTTTAACAAAAACTTTTTGTTTCTTAATAACCTGTAGCTATGTCTACAAATATAACTCATCAACCTTCACATATTACTCATAATCAGCGTTCAGTTAGTAACAAGTCTTGGTTCCACGGTTGTACGGTGTGGTTTACAGGTAGTTCCTGTTGAATAGACTTCTATATAACTTTGGTTAATCTGTATTTTTATATTTTAATGACATGGTTTATAATTGAAAGCTATTTAACAAATCGTTATATAGCTGTTCACATATCAATCGTGTTATGAATTCATTGTCACATGACCTCGAACATATGCACATCAACTACACATGGAGTTGCCGACTACTTACAAAATGATGTGAGATGAATTTACAACTAGTAGTTTCCTGTACATCATACTTGATTTCTGAGTTGAATAATTCATTGGTAGCGTCCATAACAGGAGAGCTAGATGTTGTGAACCCTAATATTTGATTATTTGTTTCTCATGGTTTGAGATCCATTTTATTTTCAGGGTCTGATATTTTTACTCACGAAGCTATTAACCCTTATTACAATTTCAATAAAATGAATTGAACTACTTCTTATCCTCTTCTTCCCTACTCGTCGTATTTACAGATAATCCATCAATAGTGAGGCTTGTTACTTTTGGGTGGTTTCGTTCTCTAGACTGGATTGTTTAGTTAAAAAGCTTTCACTGCTCGCCGGAGCACCATCAGCACAAACTTTAGGTAGAAGTTACTGAAACCCTAGGAGACTGAGTGACAGTTTCAAATATGGGACTAACTTTCGAAGTTTATTTGATTACTACAAATATTTGGTGTACTTAAGTGTTAGAAGCTCATTATCTTAACCACATCACAGAAAACTAAGCTAGGTAAATTACATTACTACGAATTTTATTTTGTCATTTCACTCAAATGATTGTCATATACTCCAGTATTATAAAAAAATACTGCTAAACTTTTTCTTGCTCAAAGTTTTCACTATTAATCTCAACATTTTTCTATAGGTCTCAGTGGAGCTGGCAAAACGACTTTGGCATTTGCTCTAGAACATCATCTGGTTAATCGAGGCATATCAGCTTATGTATTAGACGGAGATAATATTCGCTCTGGTTTAAATAAAAATTTAGGATTCAGTGATGAAGATCGTGTGGAAAATATCCGACGTGTCAGTGAAGTAGCTAGGTTATTTGCTGATGCAAATAATATTTGTCTAACTAGTTTCATTAGCCCGTTTGAAAGTGTAAGTTTAGTTTTTCCATTCCTCAGGATGTATGACTATTTATTTATTTTTTCATTACTCGTACTCTCATAATTTAAGATTCAAAATGAAATAGTAAATTTATTTTCATCGTTGCTATCTACTTTTTGGGCACAGTCTCTGTCTAGTTATTTTTATTTATTTATTTGAACACAAATATTGGTACAAGAGGGCACCAAATATATATGCGCCACACAAACAATGAGAATGGGAAGTAAAAAAGGAAGGTAAGGAGCGTAAAAGAAAAAAAAGAACAATAACGACCAGCTTAGTGTAAGGTAGTGTAATAATGATAATAATAGTAATAATGGGGGAAACGGAAGGGTAGAACCAGAAAGAATTCTTTCAGTTAAGGAAGTTACAACCACTTTTTATGAAGAAAGTTAAAGAAGGTTACAGCAGGATCGCCACTGGCTTCTATTCTGAGCCATATCTGATAACTTCTCTAGCCACTGTGTTGCACCATCTCTCGGACCCCAGCCAGGAAGTGAAGGACCAACAGATGCCGGTCCTGTGCTGCTTTCTTTCATCCCACGAAATCATATCACACACTGACCACCTCTCCGATTTTTCCAACCGGTCCCAGAGTCGGCACGACGTGGAATTCTCAGGGACGACATTCGCAGAACATGTCCAAGCCACCGAAGTCGGTGTTTCAAGATGGTGACACCAATCGCATTATCGTCTCTGTGCCCGAACACACGATGCCGAACGTCTGTATTACTAACATGGTGTTGCCACTGGATGTCAGCAATCCTTCGGAGACAGCGATGATCGAACACAGAGAGTCGTCTAACATCCTCAACTCGGAGAGACCAGGTTTCACAAGCATAGAGCAAAACTGCTCTCACCGACGCGTTGTAGATCCGACCTTTTACAGCCAGACTAACATCACGAAGGTGCCAAAGATGACCCAGATTGGCATAAACCACTCTGGCTTTCACTATACGTGCATTGATCTCATCACTCACGCCACCACCAGCACTTATGCAGTTACCCAGATACACGAACTTCTCGACTACGTCTATCTGCTCACCATCCAGGGTGAGTACAGGATTAGGATCCTGCCAGTCTTGTAGAAGTATTTTGCACTTCGAAGGTGCAAAGCACATACCATACCTACGGACACTAATTGCCAACTGATTAAGTGCGGATTGCATGGCTTGAGCATTATCGCACAGTAAGACAATATCATCCGCATACTCAAGGTCAAGAAGTCTTTCCCCAGGCCATAGATCCACACCGCCATTATTTATATCCATCGGAGCTGTTTTTGGAATGTCATCGATGGCACATAACCGACTGTTAATGGGGATCCAATCGATTGATGCTGCCTCAGCTCTAGCGCTTAGTGCGACACCAACGCCAGCAAGACCAGATGAAGATGCCACAGGGTCTCTGGATAAACGCACGTAAAACAAGCGTTTTGAAGCGACAGATCGAGAGCGAGTCTTGAATACGGGTCTCGGATAGACAACAAACGTCGACTTCTTAAAGACAGCCAGCCCTATCTGTTGTCCGACCTAAATTAGTGTGCGGACGTTGAAGGCAGGCAGTTTGAATGGTACACGTGGTTTCAAGAAAACTGCTTCAGCATTCGTATTTGGTGATAGCATACAATTTTCAACCGGACAGTGACTCGAGAACGTTTAGATGGAAGCGAGTTTCCACCATAGGCGAGCTGCTGTATAAGTCGAAAAATAAGGATACATAAAGTGGGAATAAGAGAGTGAATAAATGATGTAGTAAATAATAGTAATAATGTGAATTGTTTGACTGGTAATCGAATTGTGCGCAGAATTTTCAGTAAATGTCATTTTCATTTTATTCGTGTGTGGGCTGTTATACTGCCCGGGTGTCGAAACCGAAACAGGTGGTTTTCTTAGGGGGCCACATCCCAAGCCTTTGACCTAAAGGTCTGACCTGCAAAGCAGTGGAGCATGGTGAAGAGATGCAGTCCCATGGTAGCCGGTGACCAACGATTGGTTCATACGCCATTTGTTCGCTCAGGATACTGGAGCCCATGTGCACCATTTATTTGGGATCCGGTTAAAGCGCTGGACATTCGCTTTTCATCCTCTCAATTTCGTAAACAATACCCGTGATGCGAGAAGGCAATGAGTAGGACTTCTCTGGCAGAGGCTGCATACGCGTGGCCGTGTGAGAGCATTTCGAGAGGGAGGGCGGGCTCACCCCACTCTTGGCCATACCACGGCATTCGGGGGCTAGTGATTTTAACTATTTGATGGACTACGTAATGACTAACTTCAACAGCTATGGATTCGACGTAGTTAGCTTTTGAATTTTATCGACCAATGAAGAAGGGATACTAGCAGAGGAATCAACGATATGAATATTTCATAACTAAACGGGAAACAAATTATTATGCACATAAGATTAGGAGCAAATACACCTATGGGATTACTTTACTTTTGTCGTATAATATTATTGACCGTTGGTTTTAATGTCTCCAAAACTTCTTGTATATCCCTTTTGGGTTCAAGTCACAGTAAAATACGTCATCAATTCACTTCGCTACCTGGCCGGATCACCATTATAGGCTATCGAATCTTTTTCCTTCCCGGTCAACTTCTCATATCCGACAAGATGTTGGGCAAGTATCAACACGATGTATTTTTATCGCTTCGGAGCAAGTTTAAAACTTCGGGTCTCATATATGCGGTTTTATTTCTCATCTTCCAGAGGCGGTACTTTACATACCAACAAAGTAGATTGTTGGTGTCTTTCAGAGCTATTTTAGGAAGTCGGGAGTGCCATTATACAGGCTTGTTCCATCAACACAGGCTATTAGATTAAAAGTTGGGGAACTGACAGTGTCATTTTACATAACACTAAATACAAAAGAATTTATTGGGCTTACAATTTAGGAAATCCATGCACGCACGACTAACGCTTCCTGTCTGTTCAAATTATCGGTCCTAGTGTTTTTCAAACATAATTAAACGTGAATTCTGGGTTCTACCGGTGGTCACAGTCCAATTTTACTAAAATGTGTGGTAATACGACTTTATCAAGTCAATCTTAGGACGTACATATGCCGGAAGAGACTAATCGACCACAGTCCCGAATAATAACGACATGTGTTTACAAACTCAAATAGGTTGTATATTTGTCTGACTAGCCGTTTGTAATCAACCAAGCTTCAACAAATGATATGACATTAAGGGACAAGTTTATTAATCAGCATAACAACTTGGACCAATACACGTTCGTTTTTATGGTCGAATACTTGATTGTTACATCTAGTAGACCACTTTTTAGAAAATTATAATCACTTCGAATCAGTGGATATTGATTGAGTAGCAAAATGAGGTTAGATAAATCATTTCTGGGAAATAAACTATAAGGATGTGTTGACTGGCTAAATAAATCATTATAGCAAATGTCTATAGACTGATGAAACTGTTTTGACAGCATTTTTATAACTGAGCAAACAGAAAGAAAAAAACGGTCAATAAAGTAAATTTGCATGAATAAGCGAAAAAATAACGACTTATTTCATTACCAATAGACAAAAACTGTCTTTTAAAAGAAGTTATTTATAAAAACCGACATATACCTTAAAAATGTAAAATTTGATTGTTTTCTCTAGCTTATATCAAAGATAGAGCTTTTTAGGTACTGTGAATGAATGAATATTTAAGTATGTAAAAGAAACTGTATGGAGACTAGATTTAATAACCTACAAATAATTAGTGTAATAAGATCTTCAGTGAATCGAAATAATATCTTCAAACCCTAATCTTTCGGATTATTGCTTATACTCTTATTACATCTACCACTACGGAATTTGAATTGACAACTGCATCTCTGTGCTAATGTGGTATGGCAACTCGAACTGATGTACGTACGTACGAAGTTCTGCGTTGTTACTGACTGACTGATTTGACTGTAATTTACAAAATGCTCCATCTTTTTCAATTATTTTGGTCTCAATTGCAATTATCCTGCTAGAAGTGAACTTTACAGTAAAATATCAGATGTTTTTTACTTAGAATTTTGTTCGTTTTATAGATCATTAAGATTGTAAAATGAACGTGTATTGTACTTTAGTGTGCTTTATAACTAACTGACTGACTGACTTCAGTTTGAACATCATCTTACAATAGAAATGGTTTGTTTCGTGTGAGGTAACTGTAATCTTATAATGACCTTATTTATCTATAGATTGTTTCCTCAGACACGTAGTTTAATGATATAGGTTTTCAAACTTATATTAGAAATTTGCCTAACTCATATGATCAATAATGTTATGAAATACTTTAATGACAGTCTTTCAGTATGATATACTAGACTTTATTTCATAAACATTTAAACTGTAGACGCCGGACGCTTTGCTTCAGAAGCCACCTTTAAGTTATCTACAATAATTTAACACGATTACGAAGCATTTTATATAAATGTACGCAGGTTTTAGTCCCATGCTGCAATGTCACTTGACGAAAATCCACTGAAATAGAAGGATTTGAGTAGTTTAAAAGGCCAATGAATAAGGAATAATTGGGTGTTTAGGTTTGGGAGGAAAATAGCTGCCTCTACTTCTATCTACATCAGTTTCAGTTTTCACGTTGATGACTGATTAACTTTGAATGTGGAACTATTGATTCCTCATGGGATTTAAAGAATCTCCATTCAATTAACCTACACAGCACGAACAAGTAGTCAGGAACTTTGTGAACTGATATTTTATTTCTTTTCAATCATCTTTAACTTGTTCTCAACGTAGTCGTATCGTACAGATAAATTTGCAACTCATCATCTCACATTTGACAGACGCAAAACACATGCTTAACGCAAATTTTCAATCAAGTTGTTCAAGAAGAAAACCCGAATTTGTTGCGATTTTTTCATCAAGTAATATCATGTAGTCCATTTGCTTAAGTTTATTCAGACAATCAAATGGAAAATAATTCTCAAACGATTGAAGCTAAACAGAGCCCACATTATGAATAATAACAGTAGATATCTTTGATGGATACTGGTAATTATTATCGTTACTTCAGATAACCTCCATCTGTATACTATACGTTTGTATTAGTTAAGATGAATTAGCTTAAATGGTGTAAACTACCTAATTATATCATTTCATACTGTCGATATATTATTACTAAGGTTTTCTTAAGGGTTTATTTAACAAAATTTATTAATAGACATGAATAGTTTGTCACATTCGTAACAATTGCAATGCTCTTTATACAATGGCCTTGAAAATTTCTGATTTATCCTGATAAATGACAATCATCACGAAATTGATATAAACCGTTCATATCAATACTCATCTAGCGTGGTTGATAAAATCACTAACTAATTTTAATCAAAATGATATTCTTTATAAAGAGTAGAATATTTATTCCCATATTTTGTCAAGTATTTACTAGTGAAAACTTTTTAAGCAGTCTTGATTAAAACGAGCAACAGATATCACAAGTTCTCAAAAAAAACTCCTCATAAAGATTGTCTCATATTAGCAAGTAGAATACTTTACACCCATATTATAAATAAGCTCATGAGGTGATTATTTCTATTCTTCATAGATAAAAATTAACTTGGGATTACTACTTAATTTTTGAATATTGGTGAATCGATTTAGAGTAATTCCTAACAAGTAAATGTGATGAACAAATGATTTTCATGGAACTGCTGGTTGGTTGGTTAGTGGTTAAACCATTCGACTTTTAACTAGTAGGTTTTGGATTTCAACTGCACCCACGTATTTCGTTTTGAATAACCGTAATGGTAATTAACTTGTAACTCAAAGCCAAAGACATCAATATAAAGTAGGTATATGAGTAAATTAATAATAATATTCAATCCATTAATAGACAATTTTAATGAATTCTACATCATTTTCTTTCATTCTTACACTTAAACTACTTAATTTATTCATTGTCTTCAGGATAGAAATGCAGCTCGCATGTTGCACTCTCAAAACAATCTACCATTCTTTGAAGTTTTTCTAGCTACCCCAATTGAAGTATGTGAACGACGTGATGTAAAAGGGTTATATAAACGTGCACGTGCTGGTGAAATAAAAAATTTTACTGGTATCTCTGCAATTTATGAAAATCCAACAAATCCTGATTTAATTTTAAATACTGAATTGTATTCTGTTCAAGAGTGTGTATCTAAATGTGTACAAATGTTAGCTACATCTGTAAGTGATATTTCAATTTTCTGTAAAGAAACTATGACATTGTATCTTATTGTATTATATTGATTGTATTTCTATTCGGTCATGCTTTTAATGAAATCTAACTTCAGTTTTATGATAGAATTAATTTGGGGAAAGTAAAGACTATTTTATTGGTGAATCATATCAGAACAATGGCTTAGTTATGGTTAAAGATTGTTCATCTTTCAACCACTCGGTCATATGTTTTAATCCACTTCCACTTATTTCAATTTTGACAGCCGGTTAGTATAACTAGGTTTCATATATAAAATTTGATTCCAACCGGAGTACACAAATCTGTAATGCGGTAAACTAGTTACATCATGAATGAATATTATGGTCAAGGTACTTAATAAACCATTTCATTTATAATTAAATTACGACCGACTCTTCCCACAATGGATGTCGATTGTGATCCGTATTGTGTAGCGAATGAGAAATTTGCAAGAAATAGTGCTGAACTAAGACAACTGTCAAATATTCTCAACTGGAAATGATCAAGTTTCAGAAGAATAACTGAGAGGCAGATGCTACATTGCACTATGTACACCTTTTAGTAGGACTAGTAAAATGAGACCGAGATATACTACTCTGACTGATTTCATAAGGAACCTAATATTATTGGCTACTTTCCTACAAGTTTTTATGTGACTACTGCTATTCTTGTTCTCAGCTATTCCCAACCAGAGTTATGTATAACAGAAAATACTCTTATCAATCTTTCAAATGTAATATGCTGCCCTCCTGGTTTATGCACACTGTATATCATACTCGTGAAAATTAATTACCAACAAATTGTATACTTTAGTGTTGATATTGTGACATATAGTTGTAAACGTAAACTTCAAATATAACTATATGCCAATAAGAGACTGATCAATTTCAGTCCAAAAACATCAATGGGAAGATTCAAGTAAAACAATATCAAGTGAATAACTATATTTAATTGTTTACATCCTAAAAAGAACGAAGCATTTATTTTATATAAATTTTTAACATATACAACAAATCTCTTGGATACTAAACTGTGTTCAAATTCTTGTTTGTGATTTGGCTTTAAACATATTTAACGCTTATTTTTTTGGGATATTATTTGAAAACTGTCGTCAGCAATATTCCTTAAATATGTCATAACGATTAGCAGAACAATTACTGTTTTCAGTTCCCTTGTAGACTATCTCTAATAGCTTATGCTAATTTTTTCCACTTATAATATGTACAAGATATCCGGCTGCCAACTAGAGGATGAGTGCATTGTATAGCAGTTCGTTCTGTTCTACTCTGTGACTCAAAAATGTAACCTTTAAAAATAAGAAATATTCTTGAGTTTCTAGTGTTTGTTCATAAATGCTTTCGGATTGTTGTTTACGTGTGTTGGGACCAATTATTTAGAAATCCTGAGGTTAAACAGAATAATAGATAAAGACGGCAAACCGATTAATGAGGTATTGAGTCTTCACTAACTGAGTTAGTTGAGAAATGTGCTATGTTTGCCTGACCTGTTGCCTATTTCAATGCCTGATGGTCATTAATGTAAACATAAGTTGGAGCAAAGCTAGAGCCGGCCAAACCAAGATGTGACACTCCGTGAAACCATTGACTGTTGGTCTGGTGAACCAAGTTGATTGATCCAAACTACGTGGCTGGGTCCTACGCACTTATCGTATCCAATGGTTGGAGACGTTGTGTGACATTCTTAAGGATCATTCTCAGAAGCACAGATACACTGATTTTTTTAATCTTCCCTGAGATATTGAGTTTTCAAGTTGTCTTGTATTATTCTATCCCATGAATTCATTTTCACTGGAATTTCCTGTGCCTTATTTTTTTGTTGTTGCTAGAACTGATATCGTTACTATATCTGCTACGCTAGCACTTTACCATCCTTATTTGATATGGCAACTTGAACCGATACACATACGTTCCAGATTGTACGTTGTTTATAACTGACTAACTGTCTTCACAATATTCAACATTCAGCTTTAAGGTTATTGTACGTTTTATGGTGGTTTTATAATTTAACAATCATTTATTAAACCCTGAGTTAACCATAAACTTGTAACATTCATCATAATGGATAATAACTATTCCATTTATCTGCTGAGACTGAATTAAACCATACCTGTGCATACCTGTAACCTATTGGTGACAACTAAATAATCTAAATTTTCTGCAAAAAACTTCATCTGCTTTCTTTTTTTTAAAATTAAGATCGAAATGAGAGCAATACTAGAACAATATATAGCTTTCATATTATTATTACGATTATTTTCGCTATTTTATAGTTCAATTTTACAAGTTTTACTTACTTACTTACTTACGCCTGTTACTCTCAATGGAGCATAGGCCGCCGACCAGCATTCTCCAACCCACTCTGTCCTGGGCCTTCTTTTCTAATTCCATCCTATTCTTGTTCATTTTTCTCATGTACATCTCCATTTTCCGACATAATGTGTTCTTTTGTCTTCCTCTTTTCCTTTGACCTTCAGAATTCCATGTGAGGGATTGTCTTGAGACGTAGTTGGGTGCTTTCCTCAGTGTGTGTCCTATCCACTTCCAGCGCTTCTTCCTAATTTCTTCCTCTGTTGGGATCTAGTTTGTTCTTTCCCACAGTAGGTTGTTGCTAATAGTGTCTGGCCAACGGATCCGAGGTATTTTGCGTAGACAACTATTGATGAACACTTGTATCTTCTGGATGATGGCTTTTATAGTTCTCAAAGTTTCTACCCCATTCAGTAGAACTGCCTTGATATTTGTATTGAAAATCCTGACCTTGGTGTTGGTTGACAGAAAGTTGTTTTGAGTTCCATATGTTCCTCAGTTGTAAATATGCTGCTCTTGCTTTACCGATCAGAGCTTTCACATTTGCACCAGACCCACCATGTTCATCAATGATGCCGCCCAAATATGTAATGGTTTTTACATCTTCCAAATTTTCTCCGTAAATTGTGATTGAATTGGTGCGTGCTGTGTTGTATCGGACAACCTTGCTTTTCCCTTTGTGTATATTGAGACCTACTGCTGCTGAGGCTGCTGCTACACTGGTCATCTTCTCCTGCATTTGTTGTTGCGATTGCGATAGGAGGGCGAGATCATCTGCGAAGTCTAGATCGTCCAGCTGCATCCTAGATGTCCTCTGTATCGCGTGCTTCCCTTCAGATGTTGACGTCCTCATGATCCGGTCGATCACCAGGAGAAATAGAAAGGTGGGAGTAAGCAACCTTGCCTGACACCGGTCTTTACCTCGAACGAGTTTGTCAACTGTCCTCCATGCACAATTTTGCAGTTTAATCCATCATAAGAATTCTGTATGATATTGACTATTTTCTGAGGTACGCCGTAGTATCGAAGAAGCTTCCATAGTGTTGTTCTGTCTACGCTATCAAATGCTTTTTCGTAGTCAATGAAATTGATGTAGAGTGATGAATTCCATTCAACTGATTGTTCCACAATGATCCGTAGAGTTGCGATGTGTTCTTTACACGATCTATCCTTACGGAATCCTGCCTGTTGGTCTTGAAGTTGGGCGTCTACGGAGTCCTTCATCCTGTTTAACAATACCCTGTTGAAGACTTTTCCTGGTATTGAGAGGAGAGTGATTCCCCTGTAGTTATCACAGTTGCTGAGATCGCCTTTCTTTGGTATTTTGATCAGAAGTCCTTCTTTCCAGTCTGTTGGTTCTTGTTCCTCATCCCAAATCTTATTGAAAAGAATGTGGAGTATCCTTGCAGGTACTGCTACGTCTGCCTACGTCAGTGCCTTTGCTGGAATGTTGTCTGGTCCTGCTGCTTTGCCACTCTTGATTTGTCTGATGGCCATGCTGATTTCTTCAATTGTTGGTGGGCCAACATCGATTGGGTGGTCCGTGGGTGCTGCTTCGATGTAGGGTGGGTTCAGTGGAGCTGGTCGATTCAAGAGTTCTTTGAAGTGTTCTACCCACCTGTTTTGTTGCTCTTCAATGTTGGTGATTACCTTGCCTTCCTTGCTTTTCACTGGTCGTTCTGGTTTGCGGTGATTTCCAGAGTTTCTTTATCGTGTCATACAGTTGTCTCATGTTTCATTCTTTTGCAGCCTTTTCCACCGTCATTGCTAAAACTTCCACATATTTACGTTTGTCAGTTCTGATGCTCCTCTTCACCTGCTTGTTTACTTCTGTGTATTCAGCTTGTGCCTTGGCTTTTTCTGCTCTTGTTCGACTAGTATTGATTGCTGCCTTCGTGTTCCTCCTTTCTTGAATCTTATCCAGTGTATCAACAGTGATCCATTCCTTGTGATGGTGTTTCTAGTAGCCCAGGACCTCATGACATGTTGAAGTAACGGTCTCTTCGATCCCCTTCCAGTTGCTCTCCATAGTAGTTCCTTCTCCATTGAGTAGATCGTGAAAGGCCTGGAACTTATTGCTGAGGGCTATATTGAATTCGTTGAGTTTGTCTGTATCCTGAAGAAAGGCAGTATTGAACATTTGTAATATTGTCCGCCCCGTTGCGCAGTGCTTCTTGAGTTTCAATTTAATCTTGGCGACCAGCAAGTTATGATCTGATGCTATATCAGCACCTCTCTTTGTTCTCACGTCCTCCATCGTCCTCCTGAGCTTTTTGTCGATGCAGATATGGTCGATTTGGTTTTGCGTGATGTGATCCGGTGAAGTCCATGTAGTTTTGTGTATGCGTTTATGTGGGAATATAGTGTCGCCTATGACCAGTTTATTGAAGGCACATAGGTTTGCAAATCTCTCACCATTTTCGTTCCTTTCTCCCAGTCCGTGTCGTCCCATGATGTCTTCATATCCAGTGTTGTCCGTTTCATTTAAATCTCCCATTGTTTGGACAGCATCAATGCAGCTCCTTGTGTATGTGGGCCATTTTCTTCTTCACGGCCGGAGTATAACAGAAGCTCTCCTGAAGTTAGTCGTTGTTGTCCAACTTGCATCCAATGTGTTTTACTGATCCCAAACACCTCTAGGTTGTATCTCCTCATTTCTGCAGCGATTTTGAAGACTCTCCCGGTCTCCCACATTGTACGAGTATTCCATGTACCTAAGTAAATGGTTGCTGTGGTTGTCAGAAGGGGCATCGGCCTCATGACTTCCGAAGGAACTCGGCTTTTATCATGAGGTGTCATAACTCTTCTAAATGAAGACCTTCTGACTTCCAGGGCAGAGTTTAGATGGTTTGAATAATTTTTTCTGGTTGGCGTTTTTTAGCGAGTTAGTTTTCTATGGGATGTGATCGCTAACCCCATGCCCAACCTCCTTCTTTACCCGGGCTTGGGACTGGCAGTAGCCCCCAGAGGGGCTCCAGTCGGCATTTTTACAGGTTTTAATCCATCGTTATAATCTTGTTACAACTAAGATATGTATACCAATACATTGATACCTAGAATCTATAAAAGCCATAAATTGTTGACAGTTGTCGTGAAATTCCAGTGGTTTCCTGTTCTAATATCGATTGTTATTGGTGTGTTAGAAATAGTTTATACATAGTTTTCTTCTAAAAGTACTTCTTCAAAAAAGAAAGAAAACTATCAGTAATCTACAATAATGAATAACAACAGTAATAATGATAATGTTAAATTATCTTTAATTAGAAATAGTGTTTTTTGTGTTTGATACTAATTTACATTCTTCGCTTATGACAGTGTTTTTTCCTAATTTTTCCTAATGATTATTTATGGTTAACAATGATACATTTGGTCATATTTTTATAACATTATGATAGAAATTATAAAAGCACTATGAAATAATATCCTAGGTTGGTTAGTGGTTGAAATATCTATTTTTTAACTAGTAAGTCCTTAGTTTCAAACTCCACTTTACTCAGTTTATTTTAAGATGCATAGTATCTGTAGGGACGGCCCCTGGTGAACTCAAAAAAGCTCTTAGAAGCTCAGAAAGAGCCGTAGACATGCCATTTAATCATCCTCTGAAGAACATTCCAGAATCTCGACGTGTAGCTTCCCGACTGGATAAATGCTAAAAGTTACTGCTTACGGATTGGATGATTGTAATGATGATTTCGTTTTTACTAAAAACTACAAATATCTGAGTATTTTGTACCATATTTGACACTGTTAGGAATAAGATTCTTTCTCATTCGTCTTCTGTCTTCTAACATGCAACCTGGAGGGTCCTCGTGTTCGAGTGCTCTAGTTGTGCGTGATATAGTAAGAATACAAGTTTTAAATATAACAGTATGTATAGTTTTTTGTTTTACAAAAATATGATTCAAAACTGTGTGCAACGAATTTCAAGAGTTATATTGTTTTCATTATTAACAGTTTGGATACACTAAACTGCGAAGTCCTTTTTTCCCCACCGCCTTTTTAAAATAAATCCTGATTCATTTTAGCCCAGTAAATGTTATCAGAGTTTACGATGTTAGTTGAAATATGAGCTTGTGAATCTCCATTAACTGAGGCGGTTAAGATATGGGTTGCACATAGTTCATTATCGCCTACCTCAAATGTTCAATTTAGCTCGTGTAAGTGTGGGGTATGAAAAAGGTAGGGTCGGTCAAACTAAAACCTGCCTTCAATCTACAAAGCCATGGACCGTTGGTCTGAGTTATGTTGATTGATACAGACTATCTGGTTGAGGTTCATACGATAGTCATGGTCAGAAATTAGAGAAGTCGCATAACATGGGTCAAAATTGTTTACAATGTATGATTTGCATTCACTCTATATTTATCTCTAGATCTTAAATTCAAGTATTCCCCCATACATAATTTCCTACTCTGTTCTTTCAAATTTAAGACCATATTCTCAGGATTTAATCTTTCTTTTCATAATTGCTACTACATTAGTTTGACTCCTTTACTATTTATATTCGTTTCATCCTACCGTGTTGATACTGTGGTATGGCAACTCCAACCAATGCATATTTGTAACTTAATGTTTAGGGTGTTCAGCTTTCATACACCATGTTCACGGTTTGAATCCCGCTGCACCTACGTTGGTTTAAACAACCGGGTAGCATAGTTTACCCTTACACTTAAAGTGTGAGGCTCATGCTTAAGTACGTTGTAATATATATATATATATATATATATATATATATATATATATATATATATCATACTTGCGTTTGTACCAGACTCTATCTCGAATAATAATGAATAAATAAACTGGAAGTTTCAATATACTTTAGCAACAAAGTCGATATATTGGGTTAATTGTTTTGAAAAGTTTTACTTAGTATGAGTTAGCTCTCCCAGACATATATGAAAGGTTACTTATAAAAACTGGTACTAAAGTTTCGACTTGTAAGACTTCACCCTAAATGACTTTTCAGATGAATATTTAATCACTAAGTATTTGAGTCGATATTTCCTATACCCGCTTCGGTTCGGGCACCCGGGCAGTATCCTAGCCCTCACTTAAACCGAATGATTTATGTGGCGCATATGTATTTGGTGCCTTGTACCAATGTTTGTGTTTAAATAAAAATAAATAATAACGATATTTCCTACTGATCAAAACCACTCTTTGAATGGATGTTCGTTTAATTGTCTTTTTTTATTATTATTATTATTATTATTATTATTATTATTATTATTATTATTATTATTATTATTATTATTATTATTATTATTATTATTATTATTATTATTATTAATGGCTTTATTCAATATTATCTTTTTGGTACAATTGGTACATTGTCGTATCTTAATTAAATTAGAAAATAGCCTCAATTGATCTTGTGTTTATTAGCGTTAGAAAATACTGACTTTATATCTTAAGACTGGTAACTTATAAATAGCACACCGTAGGTTTTAAAATTAGTGAACAATAGGTTGTCGAATGATCGGGAATACTTTTCATTTTTGTTGGATTGTAACGGATTCTTTGTTCAATGTCAATCCCTTAAGAAAATACTGATCTATCTACATAACCGCATCAAAAGGCAAATGTTCATCAGAGTTAGAATCTATACAGCAGTGTGACGACGTGAGTTCGAACCCCACTGGAAGCATCAGTAGTGTCCTCAAAATTCTAAGTACGTCTGACTATCAAGCGTTAATTAACGCCTAACGTTAGTTTAAGGTATCCTACCGGCTACTTTCAGCTAACTAGCATTCAAATTTGTCTTATTTAGTTCAATTCAGTTTCTTTATGCACATTGTTTTAGGGACTAGTGCCTAACTGTGATGAAGTAAATCCATTTGGTGGTCCTATGCCCAAAGAATTATATGTGACTGATCCTCTGGAAGTTCAAAAATTAAAGGCACAATGTTTAAGTCTACCTCATTTAGAAATTACAGAATTGGATCTTCAGTGGATACAAACACTAGCTGAAGGTTGGGCTACACCATTAAATGGTTTTATGCGTGAAAATGAATATTTGCAAGTTCTCTATTTTGGTCAATTACAAGTATCAGACTGTAAGTTTATTTTATTGGTTATTTAATTTTGTTTAGGATAATCTAATAGTTGAAAAATTACAGAACTGTACTCATTTCGTAAATTTTAATACTACTATCTTCGATTTCTTTCTAACTAAAATGTTATTGTTTTGGAATTTCTAGCACTTTGAAAATTGTTGATCTCGATTACATAATCTTTGTGATGCGTTTCTGTTAACATTAAAGAGAAATTTTTTTTCAAGACAATGTAACAGTATCGTAATCTACACTGTATCGTTAATCATTAACTCATATTTATGGTAAAGTATAAACCAGAGATTTCTAATCCTAAAAATGTTTGTATTTTGACTATTTTTCCCGTCTTGACCACTTTAAAGAAATGAAAACTATAAAAGCATCATACCAGGCGTTCTTAACATTCTCAAACTTCAAACAGAATCACACTATTGTATATGAAAGTGGATTTTGGGAAGTCACGTAATAGTTAGGTACAAATAATTACTCAAATGTTCCTAGCTAAGGCTAAAAAACGTCACTGTATTATTTTATGGTGTTCACCATGGTTTTGTTCTCATCAATTACAGCTTCATGCAATTGGCTTTGAACTAGACCTTATTTATTAGGACTAGTAGTATTATTCGGCTCCGCAAACCCATCAGGTGGAATGAGACTCGAATTAACAAGTCGAAACTCTCTAAATATTAAGCTATCTCTCCACCGACATTATAAGCAAAGATGGATGGTAATAAGCATTGGAATCCAAGACACGCGTTTCGTCCTGTTTGGGAATCGTCAGCTGGATGTATCTGCATCCCAGAGTTGGTGTTAATTTCGGGACTCGAACCCAGTATCGTTCACTTCAATCAGGATTCAGTAGCTAAGTGGATAACGTAATGGCGTTTGAAGCGAACGGTACTGGATCCGGTTCCCGGAGTGAACATAAACTCTGCAATGCATGTACATCCAGCTGACAAGTCCCAGATGGGACGAATTGCATGTCCTGGATTCCAGTGCTAATCACCATCCATCTTTGCTTATAAAGCTTGTGACTTAAGACAATATCGAGGCAATCCGCACAGGATGTACATATGCCAACAAGAGACTGATCAATTGCAGTCCTAAACATCAATAGAAAGGTCCAAACAAACAATATAAAAATGATTTATCTCTCTACTGGTTATCACTCGTTTTGGGGGTGGATTGGTCATCGTCATTATGATTCTATTATCATTCCAAAATGATTATGCTAAGTAGTCAGTCAATTAACGAAACATAAAACCTGGGACCTAGGTATATGGATTTAAGTTCTCATACCATATCAGCACAACGACACTAAATTACGAAGATAAATGCTAGAGTACTAATGGCAAGATCAGTAATAGTGGAGCAAATTAAACACATATTATAGTTTAAGGAGAAAGAATAAATTCACGGAATAGGAAAGTTTAAGATAAATCAAAAAGACCATAGTTTAAGGAAGGACAAAATGTTTAGCAGGCAATAATTTCATCGACTAATGGAACCACATCTTGGTTTTTCAGACCATAGCCTTCTGATTTATTCCTACATCAACCAACAGTTTTCATCTAGATAGGTGGTAGTTGAGCCATATGTAATACATGTCCCAACCATATCAATCCATGAGCCTCCAAATGCCCTGCCACGGCCGAGAGTGGGGGAGTCAGCTCTCCCTCACGAAATGCTCTCACATGGCCACACGTATACAGCCACTCCTAGGGAAGCGCTACTCACTGCCTTCTCGTGGCTGGGGTGTTGTTTACGAAAATGAGAGGATGTAAAGCAAATGTCTGGCACATTAACCGGGTTGGTGAATATGGAGTATTCACATAGGGAAGTTGGGAAACCCTGATTCCAAACCACTGGTGCACATGGGCTCCAGGATCCTGAAGGAAGAAACGGCATATGAACCAATCGTTGATCACCGGCTACCACGAGACTGCATCTCCTGACGTTTCTCCACTGCCTTGTGGATCAGACCTTTAGGTCGAAGGCTCCGGGTGTGGCTTTCTAAGAAAACCACCTGTTTCGGTCTGGGCACCCGGACAGTATACCAGCCCTCGCACCAATCGAATGATTTATATGGCGCATAAACATTTGGTACCTCCATGTACCAATGTTTATGTGTTTAGATAAATAAATAAATTCATGAATATTTGTAGTGTCTGGTACTATCGTGGTGCGTGCTACTTATATTGACATAAGTAGTTTATAACGCATGTCAGAAATGTAATGTCTGGCAGCAGAAGATTGGGAAGATCAAGAAAGTAAGGACGGGAATAGAAAGCAATCCGCATAGAAATGCAAGAGCAATGAAGTCCGAGGTAATTATTGAACATTTTGCAAATTAGGTATTGTAGTATGGTTTTTCTGTTTCACCAAGTAACTATAATGTTTTGCTGAATATAATTCGGTTGTCCTTACCTGTGTTCACCTTCACTACACTATATCAAGCCCACGTAGGCTATTCTAGACAGACCAGTTTATCCATTCTTCTCAAGTCACACTTGGACCTTGTTACTTATTCGCTTATTAACCTTGACTGTTCTTATATGATCTTATGTGTGTTGGTTGCTCCCCCTATTCATTACGTGTCTGTAATTTATTTTTTGTCTGACTATGAATACTGAGTCACACTTAATCAAAACGAGTTGGCTCACTCGCTTTCTTTGCTTCGTTTCACCTTCTTCCCTTTCCTTTCTCCACTTCGTTTGTCTGATTGTCTATCCGGGTCAATGAGTGTATGAAATATGTGTATTCAAAATTAATTCTCATATTTGGCTTATTTTATTCCGTTATTCTCTAACGTGAATTAAATTGATAGTTATATACGAGGGTTAGCGACATGTATATTTTGATAGCAATCAGCGTACGATCTAACTGCATTCCGATAAAGGGCCACTAAAGGTTCAATAACCTAAATGTGAATATATATAATTCTTTTCTGACAATACTTTAAACTGAACTATGTATTATAATATTCCTTATTTCATATTATGTTTCAGTGATTACAAATTTCTCGATTCCAATTGTATTAGCTATATCAAATGAGGATAAAGAAAGATTTCATGGGAATGGTTCATCGATAGCTTTCGTATATAAAAGTAATATAATTGGAATGTTACAAAATTGTGAATTTTTCCCTCATCGTAAAGTAGGTGAAAATTGTTTATCGTTGGTGTATTCATGTTCTTACGCAACAACATAGCTTACAGCTGTTTTCTTATCAATATCAGGGGTTTGTAGAGATCATTAAATTTTGTAGTTAATATTGAGAATCGATTTTGGTTGGACAATCACTGAAAATCAGAAAGCTCTGGATAGCTGTTTCGTCTCAGTTTGAGACTCCTTCATCTCAATGTACATCCATTACCTTACCATCGGTCTTGTAGCGAGAGATTAACCTTTAGACTGTCTAGCTGGTATTCAGTGGTTTACATGTATTTTGTTCTTATTCATAAAGATCATCCTATCTAGTTGATAAAAATCAGCACGCTTATGATTTGTCTTACATTATTTTGAAAATTATTACTGACACTCAATGACTGAAATATAGAAAAAGACTGAACTCTTAATATGATTATTGAGATCAATATTTTGTGTTGAGTTTGTTAGTTTTAGTTGTCTGACACTTAATCATGGAACATTCAGTAACTCATGCAGCTACTCTCTTTACGACTAGTTAACCTTTTGAATTCATTTTGACTGAAAGTTTCTATTCTTCAAGTAAACAATTTCCTACATTTTGACAAGTAATTTTTTTCCTGTCAAGATTATTTAACTATTGATTTGAGAGTTATTTATGACAATTTAGAAACCTTTAATTCATTCTAGACGGGTTTAACTGTGGTTAACGTTGTTCGGAGTCAGTATTACCATGCGAGTTAGACTACCATATAACCTTTAGACTATTGTTAGACGATTAAAGGTAGTCGGAATGAAAATTCTAAACTTAGGTTTCATAATAGTTGATACTCGTCTGTAAAGTATATCTGCAATCATGCAGGTGAACACTGGTGCTTTCTTGATAAGGATACCGGTGTATCTTTAGTTCGTGACGGTGATCTATACTACATGTTATAGTTGCTAGATGCTTACTGTAAACTGTTGATCACTTGGGTCATTCTTCTATTTTTAATTATAACTAATTTCTTTCTATTTCATAATTGTGAAAAATATAGGAAGAACGATGTTGTCACATATTTGGAACTAATCATATAAATCATCCAAGTATAGAAATGATTATGTCATCTGGTGATTGGTTAGTTGGCGGTGATTTAAAAGTATTCGAAAGAATCAAATGGAATGATGGTTTAGATCGGTATCGTTTAATGCCAAAAGAATTACATAGTGAATTAGTAAAAATGAAGGTAGACATTAATGATGCATTTCTTTTTAATGTTGCCTACCTACTTTTCGTTTAAGCACATGATACGCTCTAATGTAACTTGCATGGTCGACAAATTGGTTTTGTAGCTTTCAGAAGCTGTAATATTCAACAGTGAATAATTTTAGGCAATTTAGTTAAATGCAAGAGAGTATACAGTTTTTTAAACATGTAAGTTGCTAGCGTTTCGTAAAATGACCAAATGAGCGTAGGGTGGTTTGTCTAAGATGATACTGTCCTAAGTTGATTAGCATGGACAAAATAATCTAATCCAGTCGTTTGTACTACAGTCCCTAATATTACTGTCTCAGTCGTCAAATGTTTAGTTTATTCTTTGAAATTCATATGCTCAAGTTACATACCTGTCTTTTTTTCCATGTTACAGACATTCACATCATAACGTTGCCCCATTGCCTTGTGGATTAGATACCTAGGTCAAAGACTCAGGGAGTGGTCCCCTAAGAAAACCACCTACTTCCATTTGGGCACCCGGGTAGTATTCCTGCCCTCACACAAATCGAATGATGAAGTATGGCGCATATATATTTGGTGCCTCCTTGTACTAATGTTTATGTGTTTAAATAAATAAATCTCGTGTAAAAATAAGTTTTTAAAAGTCAGAATTATTGTCTATGAAAGCCAGTAGTACTCAATAGCGATGTTCATATTTAAATGTGAAATTCAATTTAAGGATGGCTCATTGTTATTTCCCATATAAGGACAATAGAATGCGATCATAATCAGAAATGAAATGTTTCCTAGCTGATTTGTCAATTACGTTTGTCTTTTCTAGTCTTTTATTATTTATTTAATTTTAAATTAATTAGGCTGACTGTGTCTTTGCCTTTCAACTGAGAAATCCTATACATAACGGTCATGCATTATTAATGACTGAAACTAGACAACAATTATTAGAAAAACATGGATATCATAATCCTGTGTTATTACTTCATCCACTTGGAGGTTGGACAAAGTCAGATGATGTTCCACTCAATGTACGTATAGCTCAACATGAAGCTTGTTTAGATGAAGGTGTTCTTGATCGTGATACAACTTTATTGGCAATATTTCCTTCACCAATGTTATACGCCGGACCACGTGAAGTTCAATGGCATGCTCGTACACGAATGTTAGCCGGTGCTCAGTATTATATAGTTGGACGAGATCCAGCGGGTTTACCTCATCCTAATGGAACAGGTGTTGATTTATATGATCCATCTCATGGTGCTAAGGTATGTTGTATATGTATTGTTTCACATTATCAACAGTTTCTATTGTATCATAAAATTCCTCATTAAATTTAATTAAGTGTTGTCATTTATATCACATATCGACTAATAGTGAAAATCAGGGAACAATGAATAGTCGTTTCGTTCCAGCATGGGACTCCTCAATAGTGTGTATCCACAAACCCATCTGGAATCGAAATCATGAACTTTAGTTTTCACGTCAAGAGTTTAACCTTTAGATTTGCAAACTAGCATTCAATGGTTTGCGTGTTTATCTTTGGTCAGTTTACGATATTGCGAAAAACCAACTGTCCAGTACTTCTTGATTTTCAATGGTTGTCTAACTGTTGTCGGTTAATGACCTCATTAACGTTAAACAATTTTCAAAAATTCGTGGAAGCAACAAGAGACTGCGGTAATTGTACATGGACTTTATCAAATGTGAGTCAGTGGCATAATAAATTGTTCAGTTTTCTTTTCAAAATAATGCTGAAGATTGTGAATAAATCTTTTCCTCCATTGGCATAAATACTACGATCGTTTAACTTAGTTTCATCTCAGTTATTAGTTTGCGTCATTTTAAACAACCAACTTTCAGAACGAAACTTCTTTTACCTGGGTTTGTTCAGTAGTGAGTAAATTTATGAACTGATTTCATTCATCTGATCTGATTAACTCTAGTAATCTATTCATTTAATCTATATTTCATCCATTGTTGTTAAATATCAGTAACAATATTGCGGATGAAATATTTATGTATGATGAAAACTCTAACAAGATGCAGAATTTTTTGATCGTCTTGAGCAACTATATAAATATGTTTGGGATGGAACCCACCTCCTCTAAGTTCTAACTGGTCTACGTCAACACCTTAACTAATGGTAGGAAGTGAAGTGGTTGAGCTTATCGTTCACTTCACTTATCGCGAATGTCTGATCAACTCTGATGTGTCGGTGTCTGGTGAAATATCTGTGAAGGTTCGGAAAACTCGGTTGACTTTAGATAACTTGCCTTACTTGTGAATGGGGTGTCCTTCCGATGAAAGGACGAATATACTGCACAACGGTTCTCGCTGTTCCACTCCGTAGGTGTGAAACATGATTACTAATAATAAAGTATATTCATAGGCTGCGAGTATTCGATCATGGCTGTTTTCGAATCATCGGAAGCGTATTTTGGAACCACCGCGCGAGTTATGTTGAGGTTAGACATAGGGTGCTTTACAAAGGTAGCAAGTCGATTGATGAGGTAGTGAGTCTTCACCAACTGTGATGGAACATATGTTACGTATACCCAACCACCACATACCTCGACGAGCCATGTTATCTGGCGTAGTAATAGGCTGGGAAAAAGCTAAGGACAGCCAAACCAAAACGTGGTATCATCAGACCATGAAGTCATTTACAGTTGGTCTTAGTCATTTTGGTAGATATAGACTGCACGGTTGAAGTCCTGACGATTATCGTAACCAGCAGCTAGAGGCGTCGGATAAAATGTCTATTAGTGCTCATTTAATGTGGCAACTTAAATTGGAACATATGTCCTGGATTCTAGTTTGATTATGAATGACCGACTGATATATCGAAAGAGATGGTTACTGCCTATGTACAACAACAAAATAAATATGTCATTACCATAGTGGTTTACAGTTTTATTATGTAGAGATCACTAAGAATATTATTATTATTATTCTACAGATTATTGCCTGTTTTAGACTAAATGCACCATTATTGAAAAACCAAAATTGATTGTCTTTGAATGTATTTTCTTATTCATTTCATTAAGTTATAGAATACCTTTCAATAAACTATCATACTATCATGTAAACAACAAAGAATCAATATGATTGCTTTTTTTCGAGACATTGAAAGTTCGCTTTCCATAAAGAGTAGTCCTCTCGTTCTGTATGTCTTGTTAGATTGTCATTTTATTGCTTTTGTTAGACGTATCTTGTAGCCGTGTTAATTCCACACTCATATACTAGAATTAATATTCAGTTTGTATTATATAAATTGTAATGTATGACACATTAATTGATTTTTCATGTTTATTACATAGATTGCAAAATCCAACAATTATTAGTGTAGTTGAATTGTCTTAGCTGAATGGTTTAATCTCAGAGCTTTCATTGTCATTCTGGACAAATTCGTTAGTGTTTCCTTCATGTAGAAGTAAGCGCTTTAGTCATTTTACAAGTCATAAGCTAGCTCGTTCTGATGCCTTTAATTGCGACTCGTTATCCTCACAGATTTTATGATATTCAGATGTTTGTATATTCAAGCTGTCTACTTTGTTCTGTTGATGTTTGGTCAGGCTGTTGGATGGTTTTTTCTTCTTATGGGTTGTTAGATTGAGTCGCGTTCAGTGTGTCGATTAATTGCTGATCGGTTTGAATGACATGCTTTCAAAGATTCTCAGGGACACTTGGAATTTCCCTGAGCCTAAATTTTGACCATTGCCCCAGCCAAATTTATGTTTGAAGTTTTATATGACATTCACACTCCTGAGATAAATATATCAGGAAAAGAGGTAATTACAATAAAAAACATGGTTACTATGGGGAATACGGTTTCTCATTCCGCATTTAATGGAATTTCGACGCTGAGAAATACGAATTTCAATTGCACAGTTAAGTAGATATGCTTTGTACATTTTTAGCACAAAAGTGTGATTTATGAAACCCTTTTCCCATACGCTCTCACTGGCCTCTATCTCTCGATGTTGCTCCACTACCTTGTGGATTAGACCACTAGTTTAAAGACTTCAAGTTGAACTAGACCCCTATGAAAACTATCTACATCACTTTGATCGCCCGAACAGTATCCCACTCCATCCACCAATATAGTAATCTATAATGTGGCGCATACAACTTTGGCATCGAGTTGTACCGGATTTTATATGTAATAAGCAAACAAAAATCCTAGTACTTAGTATCTATTGAGTCCCTCGGAGAATTACATATATAGTATTGCTATTTTATCCACAGTTTGAATAAATTTTCAATTATCCATGATACGATAATAGAATTGTGTTTATCTTATTTTATTGTCAAAAAATATGTGGATAGGTATTATCTATGGCTCCTGGTTTATCCAACTTGAGAATTATTCCATTTCGTGTTGCTGCCTATGACAAGACAATCAACAAAATGTCATTTTTCGATTCAAAACGTTCATCAGATTTTCTATTTATTTCTGGTACTAAAATGCGTACATTAGCTCGTGAAGGCGTGGACCCACCTAATGGATTTATGGCCGAGAAAGCATGGAAGGTTTTGTCAAATTATTATTGTCAATTAAATAAATCCGTTTAATTGAATAAATGAAAACAAAACAAAATCTGAATGAGATTTAAAAGATTGTATGTTTGTTTTTCTTTAAATGAAGAAGCTATTTATTTATCAGTACAAGTGCATATTGTTTCACCATTTCCAATGTTTCTTACTCATTTTCTATTTATTCACATACCTATATATATATTTTTGTGTGTATGTGTACCTGGCTGAAATCTACGTTTATTCTTTAGAGAACCTGTGCTCTATGTTTGTTTTAATAGTTTTTTTTGCTCTTCAAAACAAAAACGTCTTTTATAAGATCGTTTGTCGAAATTTGATCAAATAATTTCACAGTATTTTGGCGCCTTGTTGATGTGAGACGTCAAGGATGAAGACTGTATTTTATTTTGGCTTCTTATTTGCTGGTTGGTTTGTTTTGTCATCTCATGTTGTTGTTGTCTTTGCTTGTCAACATAATTTCTTTGAATTGGTTTACATTTAATTTCATACTTAGGCGTTTTTTACTCTTCCCCTTTCATGAGAAGTAAATATTTCTTTCCATTTTTTCTCTTGTATTATTATCTCTTATATATCTATGTGATTAACTGCTTCTCAGTTTTGGGTTAATCACAATTATCGTCTCATCACTACATCAATCTAACTGATTAACGAACTAAGTTAATTTGGCTGTTATTTTTAAAATTTATTTCCTCACTTTTCTTCAATTCGTCTACAGTTGTTGATATTGCCGTTTTTTCTTCACAATTTCAATACTTCTATTTTGAATTCCAGTATCTCTTTATACTTTCATAGATACATACCTTCTTACTCTATCATATCAGACCACCTTCTCATCGTTACTACAGTTATTTCATCTTATCACACTAAGCTGGTAACGACTAATCCATATCTGTCCGAGGATCTATGTTGAAGATGTTTTATCTACTGAATAATCAATCATGTGCCTAGACAAAAAAAAACACAAAACAAGTGTTATTGTGATAATAGAAATATCTTTTTCTGTTTTCATGTGACTTTTTTTTGTTTTGGTCACAATCGGTTTTCTTGTTTGTTTGTTTTTTTTATTTGGACTATTATGTGATTTTCTTTCTACTGGTTATTTTCTAAAAGATTGATTTGTTGAATAATTATTTTTATGTCTGTATTTTTACGTGCCTATAGTAATACATGTTTTTTTTTGTGGGAAAGTCGAAGTCCTCTGTTTTATATCGGAATGTGCGAAAATTCCTTCTGTTTTATTTCATTCGTATAGCTTTATAAAATATAGATGATTTTGTGTTGACTTGTTTTTGATTAACTTGTGTTTCTCTACAACTGACGTATATTTGACACACACCTCCGTTTTGATATAGATCTGTAACTTAAACGCGATATCTGTCTATTTATCTATTATATGAGACTAAGTATACCGTTCAACATTTTGCCCTGTATTGCTGTAAGATTATGAAACCTGGTTAATTATAGTAGGAGACATTTGTGAGTATATTGAAAAGTATTCACAATTACATGTATCTTCAGAGAACTATTGGAATGTAGTGAAACAATGACAAAGCGTTGTAGGTAATCATTGAATAGGTTGATTATTAAGACTCTTAATCTAAATTAACTGATGTGGTTGAGATATAGTTTTACGCATGACTAAATGCTGTTTACTTCAATGTGCAGTGATGGCTAGCACATGAGCAGGTGGAAATGCTAAGATCAGTTAAGTTATTAAGTAGTTTAAAGAGAGCAAAAACGAAGACTGGTTCAGAATAATATGAACTCATTTTATTTCGTTTGGTTCTTATCAACTGCTTACAACCTATATTTTAAAATAAACCTTTTTACCGATATTGACATACTTATACATTCGAGGGTGAATAAAGATGAATATGTGTATCAGGATGTAGCGGAGATTTCAATAGAGTTAATGAGGTCATAAAAAAATTTGTTTCAGATAAATAACGTTTGGGAGGTAAAGTTCTAGAACATTGAAATAGTGATTAGAACTCATGGAGTTAACAAGCAATAAATGATTGTATAATGAAGCAACTGAAAATACATTAATGGCAATAGAGAAGGATATGAATTGAAGAAAAATGACAATGATATAATGCAAGCTTCAGAAAGAGTTGAAATAATGAGTGACGTAATAAATAAGTGGCTTTTATGTTACCAGAGCAAAGAAAGATTTATTACTGCCTCTTTTTGGGTACATAGATCTGGATTTAGACGTTTGATTGGTATCGCTTCGGCAAATTTCAAAAGGTTGGAGTTTGTTTGCTAATCACCTTGAAGGACTTCAATGCATCAACTTCATGTCCTGTGTCAAAGAGATCTCTTACGATGACACTGCTAAATGCTTTTCGGAATACGTTCTTTGAATCAGACATAGGCTCTCCTTTCTGTTCTACTGATGTGATTGCTTTGGCAGATACATGTAATTAGCTGTTAGTGTGAGTTACGTTCAAAGGGATGAAAATTTTTGCTAGGTTCATGATGTATTAATCGTGATCAACAGTTGTAAAAGTTAAGTGACATAGCTTAAAACTAGACGCAGTTATATTTTAATAAACGGAATACACCCATTAAGATATTAAATAAGAAAGATTAGTTCAGCGAAGAGTTCTCTTTTCGGCGAATTCATTTTCAAAGCTGTGTAGTCGCAAATATATATACTTATTTTTACAGGATGATAATGTTGATAATAAATTTGTTATACATGGTGACAGTGAGGTTAAATAAACAAAGGTATTAAAAAATAAAAGAAATTTCAAAACAAGGAAAGTTTAATAATCGTTTGATTGTTATTGACTTAAGTATTCATCAAAAGATAGATAGGGAAATTATCATTGGGAAAGGATGGCTCAGCATGATAAAATAAAATGTTGAAACAGAGATGAAATGTAATCGGAATGATCGTGGAAATAAAAACAAACCAGTTGGGGGTAGAAGATTTAGAGAGAAGATGGAAGGTGAAGCAGATGGCTGTAGAGGAACAAGAGTATGAAAAAGAGAGAAAAATTTTAATACATTAAAACCATGGTAGAAGAAGAGGTTGTAACAGTCTCCTTTGCACACACAATTCTGGTTTTTTCAGATGTATGGCTATTGCTTCGGCAATGCAGAGAAGATTCAGTCTAATTGTCTTAGGAAGACTTCTACTTACCTTGTTGATGACTTTGAACGCAGTCTGTCTTGATTGAATGACCTGTGTTCACAAGGTGTCCGATTATAGAACTTCTTATTGAACCGTTGCCTCCTCTTTTTAGCCACGCCGGATAATGTTCTTGAATTCTTTTGGATAAAAAGTACGCTATATTTATTGTCTAATTTCTTTGTACTTTTTTGTATCTCGATTTCACATGTTCTTCGCGAATTAAATTCTATTTGGCTTTTACAATGATTAATACTACTGCTATTATTTCTGTTTTCTTTTATATGTGATGAGTAAGATAAATGTACACACAAAAGCTTACATAAAAACAGTAAAGGTTAATAAGCGAGTAAGTGGCAAGATCAAAATATGGCTTGACAAAAATGAGTAATATAGTCTGTTTAGAAGCTAGAATAACCTATGAAATGGTACCAGTCTCTGAACATGTCTTGATTTTACCACCCCTACAAAATCCGGCTAACAAATAGAATGTACAGAATATAAATTACCATTTGGTATATAATTTGTATTTCATGTTATAATGAATACGATTGATGAAGTGTGTATGTACAGAATGGCAGGTTATAACATGAAATATGATTATCAACATATCACAATGTCAGTTGATTTGTGTTTGATATGTTATCATGACATAGCGACTAATGGCTTAATCAAATAGAGTGCTAAGGTACTATGATATCGAATGATTTTTTTTAATCCTGTGACATGTATTCACACTTTAATTGTATAATACTGTAAATTTGTGTTCACATAGTAAGTTATTGAATTATTCAACTCAGTTCAATCTATACAAATCTGGCTGTTAATCTAACTAGAAATAAATCCTATAAAACGTGGTGTATTCTTAAATCATTTTCATTTAATTTAAGAGTCAAATACATCCTTGTCACCAGTTTTTACACTTTTTCTCTTGTGTTCTAGTTACCGTGCTGATTAGAAACAGCTAAGAAATCGAATAGTAAGACTTATTAAATTCAAAGATAGAATTTTACCTGTATTGATTAGTTCTATATTTAATTTATTCACAATCAACATATATGATACTAATCTAAAACACCTAATTGTAAGCTTTAATAAGGTCATTGTATTTTTCTTCATTCACATAATCTACGCATTTTGAAACTGATTATTTTAACTACTATCAGTTCATCAATAAGAGTGTTTTTACATGAATAATAAACAAGTATTCTATTTTTAAATTTGTTTAAAAATCTCCAACGTACTCCAAAATGACCTGAAGAGTTTATCTGAATGGTCTCAAACCTGGCAGTTGCCGATAAATACTTCCAAGTGTGTTGTGATGCATATCCGTCATCAAGGTACAGATACATACACAATGAATAACACTGAGCTACCTGTCGTTCAAACACATAATGACTTATGAGTTATCGTTAGTCAAGACTTAAAGACTATTACGTACTGCTGTGCAATAGCCGCTAAAGGTCTTAGAACCTTATGGTCAATAACATAGGGCTTTTAGTCATGTCGACGCTAAAACGTTTTTGACTTTGTATACAGTGTTCGTACATCCTAAACTTCAGTACTGCATTCATTCTGAAACTGATTATTTTAACAACAATCAGTTCATCAATAAGTGTGTCTTTACATGAATAATAATCTTAATAAGCGAGTATTCTATTTTTAAAATTGTTCAAAAATCTCCAAAGAATAATTAATAAAATTTGCGTACATTTTAAAATGAGCTGATAATGATTACAATGATCACAATTTCCGAATAAGTAAATCATATAAATGCAAAAAAAAACAAATACCATAACCTTATTAGAGCTTGGAATGAGTTGTATCTAGACAACTATGTAAATCAGAATAATATTGTACATTTTATGAATGTCAATAA